CGAGCGCGACGAAGTGCACGCATCTGCGCCGGCCATGGCATCTCGTCAGCGCGCCGGTGCCAATGCGGCCCGAGGATCTAAAATGTGGCTCCAAGAAGGGCAAGCGGAACGCTGTCGAGAGCGGCGCAAATTTGAGTCTCGAAGAGCTCGTTCGCAACGAGCGCAACGCGCCAGATATGGACTCTGTTCATGCGCAGAACGTCATGCGGCTGGGGACGCGCTACAATCACTCAGACGGCAAAGGGGCAAGTGCGAGCGGCCTCGACGAAGAAGACGCGGTCGACATGCGTCTGTACCGCGATGCGAAGGACCGTCTCACGGAACGCGCGTTCGTCCAGAGCTCGGAGCGGCAAATGCTCAAGAGTCGGATGCAGTGGGACACGGCCATGCAGCGCTGCTGGTTCTGTATGAAGAGCGAGAGCTTCAAGAAGCACCTCATGATAGCGATGGGCGAGTATGCGTACGTGGCGTTGCCGTCGACCGCGACGATCGTGCCCGGTCAGTGCATCATTGCCCCCATGGAGCACCTCGCGTCGACGACGGCGGCGGACGAAAACACGGTCGCCGAGATTGAGCGCTTCAAGAAGGTACAAGATTTTGTATAATTTGATCGCATAAAGTGCACGGTCGTAGGCGCTGCGCTCCATGTGGGCGGCGTTAGGCTCCGCAGTTGTCTTTCTCGAGACGACGATGGACCCTGCCAAGAAGCGTCACACGGTCATCGAGTGCGTGCCCGTGCCGCTGCAATTGGAGCCGGATGTGCCCATGTACTTTAAGCAAGGCTTGGTCGAATGCGACGAAGAGTGGGCGACGCACAAGAAGATCATCGACACGACCGGTAAGGGTCTCCAGCGCTCGATCCCGCCGGTATGGACGACTCGTATCGCTTCTGGCGACCTCTTCACGAGTGAGTGGTGTAGCAATTCGCCTACTTTCACGTCGAGTGGTCGAACGGCGGGTACGGCCACATCATTGAAGACGCGGCGCAATTCCCGAAAGACTTTGGAGTGGACATCCTCTCGGGCATCCTCGAGGTCGACCCGCGCCGGTATGGCAAGTACCACGCGTCGTTTGACGCAGAGAAGGACCGCGTCCGCGACTTCCTCGCGACGTGGCAGCCGTTTGACTGGACGCAAGAGCTCGACGGCGGCGAGTACGCGACGTAGGGCTGCGACCAGCGATAACGTGTCCGCGTCGTGTTAGAATCGTCTTGACTACTACTCGTACACGGAACGCTCTATTATAGTTTGACGTACAAAGCATGGAGGGACAACTACGACGTCGACATGAGCGTCCGGAATCGCTGCAAGTCGGTCGGCTCGAGAAGCTTTTGCGCAATCGCACGGCTGTGCCACACAAAGTCGCTCGGCGCTGCAAAACTTTCAGACCGCTTTCGCTTCAATGGGCGCGGGGACGGACCGCGGACCATCATTGACTGGACATGGCACTTGGTGGCGCGTCGTCGCCAAAGGTGGTACGTCCGCTGAAGCACCCGGGCGGCGTGGGCGCGCTCCAGGTGCTCAGATATTGAGAACGCCATGTCGACATCTTCGTCTTCGTCATCGCAGAGTGCATCGCAGTCCATCGAGAAGGCATCTTCACTGCCATCTGTCTCATCCTCGCTGTCCCAATTGTCGGTAATGGACGCAAATACGCACGACCGGCGCCGGGTATGCAGTAGCTCAGTGGCTTCGCGCCCCGACGGCAGTAGTACGCGACGCGGTGTAAAGGCTGCGGGGGTGCTGGAGCCGAGGCGCGAAGCGCCATCACGACGCGGTCAACGACGTCTTCGACGTTGGCGGTGAAGCGGGACATCGCTTCCCGGAGCATGTGCCAAGGCGCAGCATACGAGGAGATGCGCTTCTCATCGGCCATGCTGCTCGTAGTTGCTGCTGCTAGTTAAGGAATGGCTTCGTCCATCGCTGTATGACGGGGCGCATGCGACCATCATGCGACGTCGCCCGTGGATATCGAAGCTGAGATCCTTTCCACTCGTGCTCGCTGTTTATTGGCACAGGCGAACGTACAAGAGCAATTTGATTGGCCAAATGAAACACCGAAACGCCTTGTGCGTGTTTATTGGCTGATAAAAATTTGCTCGCAGCCAATCCACACCGCAAGCGAGTGGAAGATTCGAGCGAACGCAGCATCGTGGAATACTAGGACGTCGCCATGTGTTTAAAACTGAATCTGATGTCTTGTGTTTTTTACGGTGGACAGGAGACACGTGCAGTCATGCACTCTGGCGTTCGTCTTTGTTCCGCCGCCAAGACACGCAGGACAAGCGAAAAACAGCCCGGGGCAGATGCCGCGATATGTCGCCGATACTCTTGGCTCAGGTCCTCGCTCGTGTCGCGTAGATGCGTCCAGCGGTCGCTGCCTCGAAACCTGGTCGGCAGTCCTCGCCAGTCTACGAACTCGACCGAAAAGCCTAGAAATGCCAGATATGCAACAAGTGGCGAGTACTGGGCAGGCGTCGAATGCAGTGTTAAGTCGTCCAAAGCGTCGACGCAACGTCGGGATTAAAGACCAGTGCATTACTACGACCGCTGTCTTGGTGACGACGCGCTGTCCACCGTGGCAAGATGTCGCGGCGCAGTTCCAATACCAAGGTACAAAGCACAGTCGTTCTTCAAGAAGCTGCCAATGTCCAGCGCGACTTAGTAGCGAAAAAGCGAAAAGAACGTCGTAGAAACATCGCCAATGAGCAACTTAACGACACGTTGAATGTGGCAGATTTGTGGACAGTAATGGTGTTTAATTCACGTGTACTATACACCAGGGCGAAAGCTGCAGACGCCACGTTTCTCGTACTTTTCAATTTGCCGAGTCCGAAGGAAGCACGGGAGATATGATGTCGACGACCAGCTACTCGTGGTGCGAGGCGTCCGTCGCCAAGGCCCAACGCCGCCCGTCGACGACGCGCCGTGCTGCACCTAAGGCCCGCGGCCTCAACAAGGCCAAGCCGCAGGTTATGCCGCCCCGCAACGCGCTCCAGACGCAAGTCCGCGACCGTCCAGAAGACCAAGAAGGCCCTTCAAAACGCG